GTGGTGTTAGATAGGCTGCATGCAGTCGTGGGACCTAGGTTGCAGCAGTCGTCTGACCTAGGCTGCACTCTCTCGTGGGACGTAGGTGAGTTGGGGTTAGGGTCAGTTCTAGATGTTTTTGGAGAGACTGACCCAGCTGACACGTGCGGTCATTCTGCTGAGTAACCACCGATCTGGCCGCATCGAGATACCAGCCAAGTGATTTTGTGTATCTATGTAGTACTGTTTAATGGGTATGTGCTGATGAAGGCTCAATAGCCGCTACGTTCACTTTTTGTTTGTATTTGTTATATTGTGAAGCTTGCTAATATACTTTTCGTTCGGGTTTATCTTGATAGATGTTTTGGGGTCGTTAAAAGCACGAGACAGCCGGGAAACACAGTCTTACCACCCTCTAAAATGTTGGACTGTCCTGTGACGTCGTCTGGGGTAAGCTATTAATAAAGAAACAAAAATCGACCGTTCCCACCACGTTACTTGATTAGGCAACAACTTTGGCGGCCTACCCGGTAAGTAGGTAGGTGCTATGCGGAAAGATGTTGTCACGTTCGACTAGAATCCCCAAAGGGGGAGCTTTAGGTTATAATTGTAACTTGGTTATGTCTTCCATACAAAATGGCCAAGCACTGTACGCCAACAAAAGCCCTGAAAAGGCATTTTGCAGTTTTTTATGTAATCAAAAGAGAAAGACCCAAATACTGTCACGACCGGCGGCGAAGTCATCTACCGCCTTTGCCACCAGGATCTTTCTGCGGGTCACAGTGAGCCGCGGTTCACCGACGGAAGAAGAGCTGCTCTGCATGACACTGTGAAAAACAACATTCTTGTTGTTGTCTGCTTCCACTTAGAGTTCAGTAGTTTGCCATTGCCACACTGAACAATCTGGTCTAGATATCAGTGTCGAAACCAACACATGGCGGTCTGCTGCCAAATCACCCAGAAGCGGAATCGAACCGGGTATCACGGAGTTATAAAACACGTTTGCAACTCCCAAGAAAGGGACGCATTGTTTATACTTTCAGTCTCCCCGACTCACGATCGAGTTCAGTTACGACTAACAAGTCTTAAGTCGAATTAGTCGTAAGTCGAAGTTTTACTTTTTAGCACTATTTGCATTCAAACTGATTAAAACTGTTTACATAAAACACGAAAATTCAATCTATTTACGTAGGATTACTGAGCACAAGGTGACAAAAATTCATAATATAACACTATTGCATCAGTTCCCTTGTGTATATATATATATATATATTGTGGTCGTAAGTGAGGACGGTCGCAAGACGTGCAAGACGCATACGGTGTAAGTCGAGCAGAAAGTAAATTATTTTACATGACATGACAGGCATATTTATATTAATATGTCATATTACTTGTAATATATTACATAATATGTATTTAACACTCAGCATATTTATTATTATTTATTATTATTATCATTATTATCTTATCGTGACAGGGACAGCATCCAGCCATCCACTACCGTGTGGTCTGTAATCTTATATGTCTAGTACCATATGCCTGATGCGCCAGTCTTGAAAATTGTCCTTTACCCCCCCCCCCCACCCCCTCCCCACTGTATTGTTATTATTAGGAAGCCACCGTGGTGTAGCGGCTAGACGCTCGCATGCAGATCGGAAGGTCGTAGGTTAGGGTCCTGACTTTTTTTCCCTTTCAAAAATAACCCTAGTGGGTACCAGGTACAGTTCTGGGAAGTAAAGGCGGCTGGCGTAATGCTAACCCCATAACCCGCCTATTGCCTATTGATCGATACAATTTAGGTATAACCCTATTATTATTATATTATTATTATTATTATTATTATTATTATTATTATTATTATTATTATTATTATTTATTATTATTATTATTATTATTATTATTATTGATATTCTTCTTCTTGGCGTCCACCAGCAGTCAACTCTGGCGGACAATTCTGGCTGTTCATCCACTTCTGGACTGCAGTCCTGTTCCAGAACCTGAGTGTTGCGTGTGCATCCGTTTTACAGATCTGACTCATTTGTATGCAGACTGAAGGTTTATCGCCTCTCAGGCTGGTGCACTTCGACTTTGAAGGAAGCTCCCAATTAGTCGACTCTTACGACATGGTTAGACAGTGGGTCTGTTCTCGTTTTCTCTATCACAGGGCCCCGGAACTCACACAGGGAATTATTAATATTATTTTCAACAATTCTTATACCCCTTGAAATTGTGTGTATTGGGGGAAGGGGGGGGGGGGGGTGGGGGGTTTAAGACCCACTCCACCCCAAGTGCTTTCTTTACGCCGACCCTATGCATGAGAGATAGTCCCCAACCAGGGTTGTGAGAAAACCGTTTATCTAAACAACAGAACTATAGCAGGTTTTTTTTTTTTTTTGCCCGAGGATTTTAAAATGGAATTTGAAAGGATTTCTCTAGATAGAAGGTTAATCTTTGAAATGCTGCGGTTGACTGTGTGGTCAGGATTAGAAAAGCCGATAAAGGAGAAGTTAGGCGACTTTGAAGATGTGTTTGTTTATGCTTGTGTATGACAGTTTGTGGCGAAGAGTTAGAGAAATACCACCTTAGTTTCATGATTCAAAGGAGCATGGATGCCATCTGACGGCTGCCGTTGGTAACGGGGTTGGGCATCGCAGCGATTTATGAAAATTGTGGTTCGGCAGATTGAGTATAAACCCAAACAGATGGAAGAGTGTGGAGTATGGGTGAGTTTTTGTTACGATGATACGCAGTAAAGTAGTTATTTGTTCGCACAGAGGACCACGACGGTTAGACACTCGCCTGCGTATCTGAAGGTTGTGAGTTCAGGTCCTGACTAAGCCGGAATTTTTAGAAAAATTACTTTGGCTCTCAGGTCGACCCAGCCTTAAATAGGTACCAGGTAAAGTACCTGGAAAGTAAAGGCGGCCTGCGTGATGTTGACTACATCCCAACTGAGTGCCGATTGGTCTATAATATATTTATATATATATATGTGTCTAGCCTTATATGCCCAATACGTTTGAGCGCGTAGAAAGGGGGTACTTTCATATAGGACATTAAATAACTCAATGCTAACTCAATGATGTCTAGGGTATTCGATACTAGACCGATCAGGACGCGTTTGGTGATACAGTCAACAGCAAACCGGCACCAGGATATTACCTTCTACCCAGTTTAGGCTCAGTCGATATAGCACTAAGTCATATTTATAAAAACAGTTCTCCTCGATACGGATTCGAACCCAAGATCTTCGGGCCAGTAGGCGAACGTCGCTGTTCCATTTTCTTTGAAGCCATCAGCTTCAAGGCGTAAGCCTCTTTCTGAGGCAGTCTCTTCCATATTGTAATTAAAAAAAGAAAGACTACTGTCAAAACGTATTCCAAGGTATGTCGGAATCGTGGATCCAAGAAAGAAAACATCCAACACCAGTACAAGTATACCTGTCCACACATTAACTACCTGCCGTCACACACAATTTCACACCTGACCTTCGCCGCCCTTGCTGACAGTCACCATTGACAACCAAGAATGCATTCTCACTGAACTACCTATTTCTGTCCACTTCGATTGTCTCTCCCCATTCTCCTCATGTTCCGGACCTTGATCAGCATTCTTCGCCTATAAAAGACTCCTGACTCCAAATTTCCACCCAACGGATTTCGAATTAGGTTCACAATAACTTCATTGATCGCATGTCCACTGTCCTTCGGGTGCTGCCTTCACTGGGCTGGACAAGAACGGGTATGACACCGGTCAGTTTTGATCCGGAAATCCAGGTGGAAGGGGGAGATAATTAAAACTGTGATTATAAGTCAACAAGGTCTCCACTGGGCTCTGGTACTTCATTTGTTCCTGTACTCAAGCAAGCAATGCCCTTATTGTGTGGGACTTTATCAGGCTGTCTACGTGGGTTCCCGATAGTTTTTCTCAGGTTTGCAGTCCCCGACGTTTAACAGGGTTCGAATCCACTAGTGGGTGGTCTAGAGAAAGACTGTTTTCGTGGCTTTTAGACAATTGTACGAGAGTCATACAGAGGAAGAGGTTGGCTTTCCCCATGTAATATTCCCATAGTTAGCAATTATTACATTTTAGCCAGCTGTTCAGTATAGAGATGGCACAATTATGGTTAATAATAATTATTTTTTTTATCCAACTGCAGGTGGGTTGGTTGGTAAATTCTTGTTCTTCATCGCGTTTATCGGGTGTAAACTCCAGCGGAAAGTTATGATTGTTCTAGACTTTGGTCTTGTTCCCCATCTTGAGTTTTTTTGTGCGCATCCGTTTTACAGATTTGATCTGTTTGTATACAGACTATTGTTGGTTGCTTGTCTCTCAAGCAGATGCGCTCCCACTCTGAAGGAAAAATCTTTTACTGAACGCTTTGTACGACACGCTAGTTGGGGGATGGGGGCAGTGTGTCTATTCTCACTCCCCCCCCCCCCACACCTCAAAACGTGGTCCAGGAACTCACATAGAACGTTAGTTTAGTAGACACATTTTGATGTTCCTAACAACTGTGTATGCCCCATGTTCTCGCTCATAGCCACGTGTATGGTTCTGTTGTCTTGATCTCTTAATTTTCTAGTTACAGTTTTTTTTTTTTGTCGTATGTCAGTTGATAAAACCTTCAGCCGAAACGTTGAAATGTGTACGTCCTGTCCATTCCTTCGGTTTAGCTTTTTAATCACAGTTTGGGTTCTACGTATTGTTTCTTGGTTGCTAATTTAAAGTGAATTCCAGTTTCACACACACACACACACACACACATACACACACGCGCACACACACATACACACACATACACACACATACACACATATATACATACACAAATACACACACACACACACACACAAGGGCATCTGCGCACGCACGCACATGCACAAGTTCGCCTGAACATATTTTAACAATACAAATTTAAACGGAACAAATGCTGGTTGCATTAACGATCAGAGGGCTGTAACTTGCAGCCATTTCTAATTAATATGTGTTTTTTACTGAAAATATATAAAATTAGTTACCTTAAAAAATCCTGCGCACCTGGTAAAAGATAAAACATAATTTATTAGAATATGTATACAGCGTTGATGTAAGTATGTTCACGATCTTATACACATACATGTAATGCAAATATGTAAATATATATACACACACAACTCTTCACCACACACAATGTATTCCCCACACCCACACAGTATTCATTTCTAAATCGTCATTCTGTTTAGGATGCAATTTTTCATTATTTGAAGACCCACCCTGGCTCTTGCTGGGGGCCGCAAATATAGCGAGGCCATAAATATGGCTGAACGCGGTTTCCGAGACCTCTCCACGGTGATCCTCCTCCACATGGTGGCACATTGAGTCATCGGGGTAGAAAGTCAGTCAGTCAGTCAGTCACACAGTGTATACATACTCCTATATAAGAAGGAACGATAGACTGGTGACTATTTGATTACTTTCAGCTGTGTGAACAACATTTTCACTTGCAACCTCTACAGTTGATGAGTCCAAAAAGTATTTGCTATTTCTGTATCATCATCTTTTAATATTTGCAAGAACTCACTTGCACACCCGTAGTTATAAAGTTTGTAGCGTTTTGGCAGTTTCCCTCGTTGTTCTTCGTGTATTATTCCGACAGATTTCCTCCCACGATGGTCTATATAAAGATTAGGAGCAATCATTGTCAAAACTCAGGTCCTTAAACAAAACCAAGGTCTAGAAATGGACGAACCGTGAATTTCCGCCGTGATTTACAGACAAACAAATGAGTACTCACCCATCGCAGGCGTATATCCCATAATGTTTGCCCGAGGAATGATCTTGACAAACTTTGCAAGGAATATCCACGAGAATCCGACCTGTGAAGAAACAACAGATGCACGTTATGTCACAAACAGAAGACGCACATTGGTTGGCTGGTTGCTTTGGCCACGACCAGCTCCAGCTGACGGGCCATTCTGCTGACGTCACCAGGTCGGGCTAACGATGCGTTAATGCAGCGGTTCTCAAACAAGAGATAAACTATTTTCGACGGTGGCGAAAAAAGACAACTTGAATTTTAACTTGTAAGTATCTACATGCTTTCTTTAATAATTGCACACCTGGCACATGCTCTCGGCACCCAGTTTGAGAGCCGCTGCGTTAACGCATCGTAGGCCCGACCTGGTGACGTCAGCAGCACGGCCTGCCAGCTGGAGCTGGTGGTGCTTTGGCAATCTTGAGGGGTTATGTATTTCTAATGTAAGTCTTGCTTAAAGGTGTATATATGCCGGTTAAGCCTCCAACAAGAATTGCGGCTGTCTGAGACTGGTGAAGAATTTTCGCTGGACAAAAGGGACCACAACTTGGGCGCCCGGACACCACGCCCCGACACCACGCCCCGACCCAGAATTATTATTATTATTCCTGCACACTTAAACAAGGCTTAACAATGTTTAGAGGTAAGTTGAAGATTACTGTTTTAGATGTTGCCAGCTCGGTGTAGGTTATGGACCCATCCACGATCGCCAGGTATCATGTGTGACAACCAGTGCCACCATTTGCATACCCCTGTCGCTGCTGCCGACTGGACAGCTACAAGCCCATCTCGTCAGGCAACAAACACTCATCCTTATCTCATCCTCGCCGAATCCTAGTTGCTATTCTGTTGCTAAGTGAAAGCCAAGTCGGCAAGTAATTTCTTCCTCTGGCATTCTTTTGCTTCCAGCTTCACAACGGGCCAGGGTTTCTCTGGTGGAATATGTCAAAATACATGTAACAAATCTAAGTATCTCAGCATGTGATTGGCTTGGTTTGGCTTTCAAAATCTCCCTAAAACTGAACGTGGATGCGTGCTGTGTGGTCCAGAACTCTGACAGCTAGAAGACTGAGAATCTTTCCGGCAATCCCCGCAGCGCTATTGAGGATTCGTTTGTGTTTAATTACATCGTTGACTTAAAAATGAACATCATCATCAAGTGCCTTGGACAAATAACCTAAACACTGTACTAGATTCTGCGAATTCTGACAGCAAACATATACTTTTCTAAACTTTGACAAATAAATACGTCTTTTTCTGTCTTCCATAACCCACCCTTCAATAAATTTAAACGCTTGTCACAGCAAGCACCTCTTTTATCTTTACTCGATCATAGGAGCCAGAATTTTAAGCGTCCCTTTCCCTTCCACGTATGTTGGAGGCAGAGCGAAGCCCCCCCCCCCCCCCCCAGAAAATAATGTTTAGAGAGCAGCCGCCGCCCCATGTATAGACGTATATTTATACATTTCATATTGTTTCAACAATATTGTGCTAACAAGATGATGACGAACAAGAAGAAAAAGTAGTAGAAGAAGACGAAGAAGAAGAAGAAGAAGAAGAAGAAGAAGAGAAGAAGAAGAAGAAGAAGAAGAAGAAGAAGAAGAAGAAGAAGAAGAAGAAGAAGAAGAAAGAAGAAGAAGAAGAAGAAGAAGAAGAAGAAGAAGAAAGAAGAAGAAGAAGAAAAGAATAAAGAAAGAAGAAGAAAAAGAGAAGAAGAAGAAGAAGAAGAAGAAGAAGAAGAAGAAGAAGAAGAAGAAGAAGAAGAAGAAGAAGAAGAAGAAGAAGAAGAAGAAGAAGAAGAAGAAGAAGAAGACGAAGAAGAAGATCACGTCTGCCCGTATATTTGATTCCAGACAAAAGTCACAGCGACATACAAGAAGTTATAACCACACTTATGTGTACAATGCCAGGTTGCATTGTCCTTATATTATTTGACACAATACACAGTTTAGAAACCTGCTTGTTTTAGCCAGGCCAAGAACGAAAGACGTGTTATAACCTCCACGGAGTACACTACTTAAAATCTTTATCACGTCCATGTCATGTTTTTATTTAGTTTTGTTTGTCCGTCCATCAACTCGTTACAACCTTCCTTGCAGTTTTACATCCAAACACAAAATCCACACATTTATTTTGAAAATATTGACCAAATGCGAACAAAACGCCGTTCTGGAACGGCGCATTGTTCTAAGTTTATCTTCCTAACCAGATTATTACTTTGTAACCTTTCTCTTCCTGTATGCCAGGTTTATACAAACACACTTTTTTATCCCGATTCTTTAGCCCACTCGTGTATCCTTTCTCACCGGTGTTTTCAGTGCCAGGAGAGACATCTTTAAGATCACCCCCTCGGGGACAAGTCAGTGTTCTAAACTCGATCTTTCCTGGGATAATGTAGGCCAGAAAACACCCAATGCTTCCTTCCAAGTATTGACCGTATTATCAAGCGGTTAAACGCGGACAACGGATTCAAATGGAGGCAGGAAAAAAAATGACGCGATGCATGGTCGAGCTAGACGGTGAAGTTGGAAAGCTATTGACTCAGGCGACACACACGGAGAGCCATGTGGTGTTTTCTGGCGATTTGCTTGTCGTTGAAGGCGACTTGGCATCTGGGTAATGTACAGATAAACAATGCAGGATGGCTCCAGGCCAGAGAGACAATGTAGATATTTTTCAGTGTGAATGAATTTGGAATTTAAAATTGCCATGATTTGAAAATAAATGGGACGCCAGAACATAATTGTCTTCTTCTTCTTCTTCTTTTCTTCTTCTTCTTCTTCTTCTTCTTCTTCTTCTTCTTCTTCTTCTTCTTTCTTCTTCTTTAAAATTGCTTCTTCTGATTCTTCTTCTTCTTTCTTCTTCTTCTTCTTCTTCTTCTTATTCTTATTCTACTTCTTCTTCTACATAATTGTCTTCTTCTTCTTCTTCTTCTTCTTCTTCTTCTTCTTCTTCTTCTTCTTCTTCTTCTTCTTCTTCTTCTTCTTCTTCTCTTCTTCTTCTTCTTCTTCTTCTTGTCTTCTTGTTCTTCTTCTTGTTGTTCTTGTTTTTGTTTTTTTTGATGTTGTTGTTGTTCTTCTTCTTCTTCTTTCTTTTGTTCTTGTTCTTCTTGCTTCTTGCAGTTCTCTCTTCTTTCTTCTTCTTCTTCTTCTTCTTCTCTCTTCTTCTTCTTCTTCTTCTTCTTCTTCTTCTTCTTCTCTTCTTCTTCTTCTTCTTCTTCTTCTTCTTCCTTTCTTCTTCTTCTTCTTCTTCTTCTTCTTCTTCTTCTTCTTCTTCTTCTTCTTTCTTCTCTCTTCTTCTTCTTCTTCTTCTTCTTCTTCTTCTTCTTCTTCTTCTTCTTCTTCTTCTTCTTCTTCTTCTTCTTCTTCTTCTTCTTCTTCTTCTTCTTCTTCTTCTTCTTTTTTTTCTTCTTCTTCTTCTTCTTCTTCTTCTGCATTTTAAACCCCTAGTAGAGCATAGGCCCTCAACCAACGCATCCTAAGTCGTTCTGTCCTTCGCTTTACCAGGCAGCTTTCCCCATGTCCTCCCAATCTTTTTTAACCTGGCTCTTTAGCTCCTTTCTCCATGTAATGTTTGGTCTTCCTTTATTTCTATGCCCCTGTGGGTTCCAGAAGCGAGGAACAAGCATTCTGCTTACAAAAAAGCCAGATTAGTAAAACGGATGTGCACATAAAAGTGAAGTTCTGCAATAGGACTATCGTCTAAAAGAAGTTTACAGCCGGTAAACATGAAGACAAGACTACTCTGAGAATACACACGCGCATATTTAAGTACATATGTGTAGAGACATATGTGTAGAGACATATGTGTAGAGACATATGTGTAGAGACATATGTGTAGAGACATATGTGTAGAGACATATGTGTAGAGACACATGTGTAGAGACATATGTGTAGAGACACATGTGTAGAGACATATGTGTAGAGACATATGTAGTAGAGACACATGTGTAGAGACATATGTGTAGAGACATTTGTGTAGAGACATATGTGTAGAGACATATGTGTAGAGACATATGTGTAGAGACATATGTGTAGAGACATATGTGTAGAGACATATGTGTAGAGACATATGTGTAGAGACATATGTGTAGAGACATATGTGTAGAGACATATGTGTAGAGACATATGTGTAGAGACATATGTGTATGCGTGGGTGAATGTGATATTTTCTTTTAAATTTTGCAGCGTACATATGCGTTTGACGCACGCGCGCGCGCGTGTGTTTGTTCGTTTGTGTGTGTGTGTTTGTGTGTAGGTGTGTGTGTGTGTTATTTTACATTCGTGATACGTAAAAAAGGAAAAAGATACTGAAACGCTAGACACATAACATAATATTTATTTCGCTAGCGTAAGAAAGATAACTTTTCCCCTCACTGGTAGTGATACGACTCCTAACTGTCTCCGATTAAGACTGAAGATCTCTTGAATATTTGCCAGTGAGTGTAGTGTGTGTGTATGTGTGTGTGTGTGTGTGTGTGTGTGTGTGTGTGTCATAGCTGACTCTAGAAAGATCTTTTTTATATTTTAAAAAAATTGCGTTAGCTAGCCAAAGCACACACATAAACACCACACACACATAAACATACGCACGCACACACACACACATACATACTTATTATCACTATGACCCTAAAGCACCATTATGGTTACACCACAACCACAACCATAACTTAAAAAAAAAAACACACACACACACACACACACACACACACAACACAGATCTGCTAAAAAAACAACCAAACAGAATGTTCTAGCACTTTGTTAACTTTACAAAGCATGAATAAATCAGTTGGTTGGAACCTGCAGTGATTACACGTTCTAGTCACAATCATTTTTATTGGTCAGCCAGTCTGAAGTGATGTGTTGGCTTATACGTTTGTTTGTCCGTTTGTCACAGATTTCGACACCGGTGGAAATGGGAGTGACACTAACAATGAGTGTCGCGTGTTTGTTTGTTTCTGATGTTGACTGTTGTAGATGATTCAGGAATAAATGGTTGCTGTTGGCACATGTACTGCATGATCTGTGATGGAGGCGGAGTGAGGTTGGAGGCTTGTGATGTGTAATTGAAGAGACAGTCACAAGACAGACATAACTGAAAATATCTAGAGTTACAACCAGCCAGATAGATTTACAAATCTAAGACTTTTGCTGCTGCTGCTTCTGCCATCCTTCACTACTACTGAGACTACTAGTAGTAGTCGTCGTATTTTGTTGTTGTTGCATCAATAGTACTAGTAGGTTTAATTTTGGTGTAGGTGATGGTAAGACTGTTGTTGGGAGGACATGAGGTAGGAGAAGAAAATAAGTATTGTAACCACCACCACAACCACTACCCCCAACAACAACAACAACAACAACAACAACAACAATAACAATAACAACAACAAATTAAATGATAAGATTCTAAATCATCGTTAAGACAAGTCATGTACAAAAAATGGCGTCAATATACTCAAACGTTCCAGATTTCTTCAATTCCTTCAAAATCAACCCGGCATCCGCCCAGAGCTAAAATGTAGTGCCAAGTGCACGGCATATTTTAAACTGTAATTTTTTGTTGTTGGTCCAATTGAACAACAGGAGAAGCAATCAACAGTATAGGAATAGATAATAGTTTAGTAAATAAATATGGCGGAGATACCTCGGCATGAAGAGTATCCAATGCTGAGCCGGATGTTGCGAGAATTTAAATGAGCACCGAGCACGTGATCTGACGGCGGCAGGGGCCTTAAGTACCAATTATTTGAGTTATCCGCTCCTGGAATAAATGCAAACTTTAGGAGAGCCCAGTCTCTGATGAGCTCTT